TGTATTTCTCCACATTTTGGTGTGGAAAACGATCACAAGACAGTACGTGTCTGCAAAACCCAGGGAAAATGCACAGTTGGCGTACGTTTTTTTATGCACCGAACCACAATTTTACTGAAAATCTGTCCTCTCTGCGTCCAACAGGCCGTGTCCCCCAGCTGCTGTATTGTTGAAGATGTCGACTTTTATTTCTGATTTCCTGCAACATGCTTTACGTCGCAAACACATATTGCTCTTACAAAGGTTTACTTTCATCCCAGTATTGAGTATTAAATCTTAGAGATTAGCTCCATTGTAGTAGCTAATCGATTATTTTTGCCTTTTCTGTCTCTCACCAGTGACATGTGATTAGTATTGTTATCTGTCCCTTGGATTATCGTTGCCGCGAACTGGTGTCTACATGACCCTCGCAGCCCTGCTCTACTTCGCAAGACAACACTGAAGTCATTATAGGGAGCCATGTGTTTCTGATTACTCCGGCACAGATTAGGGGGGAAGGGGGGGGAGCAGCTGCNCCCCCCCAGTCACTCACTAATGTGGTCAGCAACTGGACGTCCAGTGGGTCACATTCATCCTCTTTTCATATCCCCTTCCCACCTCCATGGTTAACCATGTCCATGCTGACTTTCCAAGACAGGAAGGAGCTTTGAAATCTTTTCATCTTGAACTTTTTTCCACGCACAGATGTTTGTTTTGTATTGTATTGTAAGCTAAGATTAAAAAACATCTTTAACAAAAAAAAAATTCTGCAAATTTGTGCCCTCCATAGACTGAATAATTATTCAAGTCTCAGCCCCTCCCCCCGCCTATGAATACATTTCTCTATGTATCTAAAAACATCTAGAAGTGGTGTTTGCATCATAGCTTTCCTTTGTCGTAGACTTCCGCAGCAGGTCCAAATTGAAACTTGTTTCTTTGTGTCTTCTGAAGATTTAAAACTGGATCAAAACTTGTTGAAGTTTTGGTTTTGTTTTTAAAAATGATATTTGCTAACATATCAAAATTCTTCATTTTTAAAATGGATACATAATTAATATACAGTACATAATACAAAAGGAGCTCAACGACAGACAAAGATATGGAGATCGTACTTCGTGACGTATTTTAATGATTAAAATAAGACAACTGTAAATAATAAAATATGTCCAAAAACTTTCTGCATCCAAACGGAAGCGTTAGCTGTTGTTGACCTACATTTGGTCCCACATGCTCTGGTCTGTCTATGCTTCCACCGCAGACAACTATAAACACAGCAGCGTCTGGACTATGGCTGTGGAAGAGGAGGAAACGTGTGACATGTTGTCTCTGTTGTGGTCTCAACCTCTAGGAGACAACTGTCTTTTTATTCTTCTCAATAAAGGAGAGATTAGAGATGGGGGCCTCGGGGATGTCGACCTGTGAATGTGAATTTTTGTGTTTCGGGTTTTGAGTCAGATGACGGTCAGCTGACCGCCAACTTACTGCAGAAACTCCATTGCTTTGTTTATGATTTCCTGAATGGATCTTTTTATTGGGTCAACCAGTGACGACTGTGAAAGGTCTCTTGAGAAACCACAATGTCTTTAACTGTTTGGAGAATAACTAAAGAGGAGAGAAGAACTTATGTTGACTCTATAGTCCTACACAGAGACTGAAAGAACTATTAAGGCTAAAAAAAGCTTGAAATTTGGGAATTGGACTGGATTCAATTTTTTTTTTCAAAAGTGATAACTGATCTTCTGTTTTATCACAATACTGACCCATCCTCCCAACCCCTCCTCACACTTCAACAACCATTCTTATGCACTAGTTCTGTGTCCTGTGGCGGGGCCAGCCCCCTACTTTGGAAGCCATTGGCCTATGGGACTTTTTTTTTTACATTATTTTTACTTTATTCTTTACCTTCTGTATCAGCCTGTTTTCAGTTGTTGATTTTCTGGATTAAAGAATGTTTCTTCGTGGGCAGGTATATGTATGTAACTGTGACTGTTGTTAAACAACACAATAAAAGACAGGAAGTGATTTACTCGGCACCAGAGTAACCTCTGAATTAGCAAAATATAATTTTTCCTAAATTACTCTTGGCTGAACTTAAATGTTATCTCTCTCTCTTTTTATTTGCAGACAGACAGCAGCCCTCCCTCCAGGTTCCTTCAGGCTGAAGACAGAAAAACCTGCATGCATGTATGTACACACATATACAAACACACACACTGACAAAGGGTGAGAGGAAGAGAAATGTTTCACCCTCTAAGTCATCACCTTACCTCTTCTTTACTACTTGTTTTCCCTCTAAACCAATGTAACTCTGGCTGCCGGGGAGCATCTGGTGTTTTGGAGAGACAGGAAGTGTGTGTGCGGGTGTTTACCTGGTATAGCTACTTGTGAGGACCCTGTATTCTAGGGACGTTTTTCAGGTCCTTAACCTGTGAGAACGTATTTGGTGGTTAAAGATTGATTTGGGAGTTAGGATAAGGATTAAAGTCAGATTAAAGTTAGGGTAACGATGTAGATTAAGGATTACACTTGTAATAGTTTAGGTTAGAGTAAGGGACTAGGAAGTGCTTAACATCTATGTAGGTCCTCACAAAGTAAAAAAGTGTGTGTGTGTGTGTGTGTGTACAGGCCAGCGATTTTATAGTAACCTCTTAAAAGAAAGAGGAAACGCAGAGGAGTGTGTCAGTGTTTGATCTTCCGCCAGCGCTAAGTACAAAATTAGCAGGAAATAAGAAAATAAACAGAGGTTACAAACGTGTTCATTGTCTTGGTCTCAGTTGTGGTCATAATAACAGCGCTGCATGTTTTCCCTTTGTCAGCGAAAAATTAGAACTTCCTCTGTTTTTAGCGTGGATCATGTGATGTAGTCTGCAACATGCAGATGGCGAGCACATATGGTCTGCATCCATATGAAGCAACGTTAAAGTCAGGCACAGCAGAGTCAGCCCCTTACCCTCACCCACCGATACTTATTTAAACTTCTCCGTCTGACTCCCTCTGCCTTTTTCAGATGCTTACATGCCACGTTGTTGTCATTGTCACTTTTTTACATCCCAAAAATAAAAACATGTGTTCAGACTGTGGACCGAGTTAACAGTCCGGTTCACAGGCCCCACAAATTTCTGACGGCTGCTGCCAGAAGAGGGAATCCTGTTAAACCAGGGAGCTGCTTTACTGCCATTTGACACAAAAAAAAAATCTCAAGCAAAAAATCAGAGACCAGGACTTTGAGCAGCGGAGTTTCTGTCTGAAAAACACGGACAGAAAGACAGAGACAGCTTTGCTGCAGCATTCCATGCAGGAATGGTTTATTTTTGTTGGGAACATATTTGTCTATGGCTAGAATTGGGAACTGCATTTTACTGCCACAAAGTACAGAATCGTGTGTCACCAGCCTCTTGTGGTGACCTGTTGTATTTTCCCTTACACAACATGCTGTGAAACTCAAGAGGGAGACGTTTTTCACTTGAGAACTGACGTTGAGACAATATCACAGTGGTGACAGAAAGAAATGAATTTAAAAAAAGGTAGAAGTCATAGATTCAGTTTTTAAGTCGACCAGATATGGTCGTGTTGGTCTCTTTTCTCCAACACTGATCAAATTCAGCAACTTTGAACATTGGTATCAGTAGTAAATCTGAGAACACAGAACCGATTCTCCCTTTGGACTTTAATTACAAACAAGTTAAACCATTGTTTAAGTCCCTCAGGTTTGTCTTTTTTTTTTTGTTTGTTTGTTTTTTTGTTTTTTTTTTTTGTTTTTTTTTTGGGTCGTTTCGCATCATGTTTCTCAGGAGTTTACAAATAATGTCAATTGACTTGGGTCATGAAGGTTTGTGACTGGGTCCCCAGAAAAAAAGTATAGGAGACATAGAGGGCTTTATAGGGAAACACTGAGTTAAACAGACACCTCAGAGAAAACTCACAGTCAGGTCAGGGTTCAATGAATGTCTGTTGTGAGTGTTTCTAGCTCCCAGTGACCGTCACCTGCAGTCTGAAATCTGGGAAAAAATGATAAGAGCACAGATGTTCCTGGGTTTGTACAGAACCATGATGAAACCTAAACTGGAAGAAACTACAAAGTACAAAATCTGGGGGGATGTTCATATCAAATAAAACATATAAACAGTGTAAGGACAGAGAGAACATGAAAAACTGGAGGACACACTGTGTCCTGATCTGTCAGAGTGAATGGACAAACAGCTGTTAGAACACAGGAAGAGAAATAAACAAAGGGGCCACTGTACCAGGTGAGACCCGCGCCCCAATCAGAACACGTCATGGTCTGGTCCATTCTAAGAAACTGTCCAAATGTGTGAAAGGATTAGTAATTTTGGAAAACATTTTGCTTAAAGAAGAAACTAATTTCTCCTAAAATGTGGAGGCTCCTGGTGTTGACTTTTACCCTCACTGTTGGGGCATTAGAACCTGCCAATAACACCTCAGCAGTTGAGGAGATATCGGTAATAGCTCGGGGTAAACTGCTGGTGAGTAAAGTTAAATATATATATATATATATTTTCTTTTTATTTGTTGTTCTTAAATTAAAAAAAAACATTTCATCATGTGATTGAGCTTGTTGAATCAATAACTCTTTATATTTAATCTTGCTGTCAAACGATTAAAACTTTTCATCTGATTAACCGAAATTATTTATGATTAATCAATATTAGTTGACATTGACAAAAAAAAAAAACATTTCTCTGAATTTCATCAGAAAAAAAAATCCGACCTGAAGTGAAGTCCCCACAGATGCATGCTGGGTGTTGAGATGGTATTTAAAGTTGTAGGTGTCCTGGTAATGAGAAAACTCTTTCTAGCAGGGTGGTTAAATAACAACATGGTGTATAGGGGGAACAATAAGTGGATGGAGGATGGAATAGTTTTTGAATAATAATAATTACTACTACTACTACTTCTAGTAGTAGTAGTAGTAATTATCTTATGTTATGAAGTTTTGTTTACCAGCCACACAATACGTTGTATTTGAAATATATATTTTTTAACACCCGTCTGCTGTCATCTCTACAGGCTCCCAGTGTGGTCGGATGAGGAATAAAGAAACTGCCCGAACTCTATCACTTTCTGATGGAGAAATGGGCTCTGTAGTATCCTTGTCCTACCTCCCCCCGCCCCATCCAACAACCACATTTGTAAACCAAACAATGAGGGTTCTCAAAAGTGTTAAAAGATGTGCAATGTTTTTTTTAAAACAGCCTTGTGAGCGGTAATCTCTGTCGTCAGTCCAAAGTCTACACAGAAAGATTCGCTGCTCTCTGCAAAAGCATCTGGTTGTTTCTCTTGATTCCTTACTTCTTGTGTAGCCATAACCTGGAATATGATTCGTCAGAAGAGAAGAATCCCCGTCTCATATTCTACAATGACAAGGATGAGGTCGTGAAGGTAAGCTGAACATTCACAAGTCTTTTTTTTTTCCCCTAAATTCCAACTCAAAAATCTGGACTGATTTATGTAGAAAAGTTTTACAACGTCTGTATCTAATGTCATCCATGAGGACAAAGTAACTTTTAAGAAGTATTGAAAATGTTATTTTTTGAGGAGGTTAAGAAAGTACTGTGTAAATTTGTACGTTTTGACAACTGAGCATTAGTGAAACAGGATACTTGCCCAGAATGTTGAGACATACTTTTATGTACTGAATTTACAGCAGTGCAGTTTTTCACCGATTTATTTTTATCGACGTGAAAAAAGCCCCTAAATCTGTGTGGCAAAGAAAATCTCCAGTAATCTGCCTGTGTGTGTTCCTTGTAGATTTGTATTATTATTTTGGTGTGTGTGATTCTTGTGTAGCTATACTTGTAGGGGTCCGATTACACCAGGGGTGGGCTAACTTTTTACTTAATGACCTAATTTATGACTGGCAGACTGCTTTCATGTTAGTTGGATGTAGAATGAAGTTACAAAACCTAAACTTTTAAAGATCATTTGGCAAATTTCATGTCTGCTGCCATCTAGTGGCATCAACAGAAATTAGTTAATTCATTGTAATGCATTAAACAAAAGGATTGACGTCAATCTTTTACCATACCTTGTAGCAGTGTTTGGCGGGCCAGTTTAGAAAGCCCAGTGGGCAGCATCTGGCCCACGGGCCGTAGTTTGCCAAGGTCTGAATTAGACTATAGGTAAGGATAAGGATTAGGCATGTAATTGTAGGCCTGGGTCTTAAGGATGCGTTATGTCAACATAAACGAAACCAAAAGTGTGTGAGGGTGAATACTGGTTTAGGTATACTAATGGGGTCTTAATGTATTTACTGTTGTTGTGGGGACGCTGTCCTTGTGAAGACAGATTCCTCATTAAATGGAAGTGGATGGTGAGCTTTGAGATTTACTTCAGAGATAGGACTAAAATTCTGGTCAGACAAATTAAGTAACAACGAAGTAACAGATTATACAGAAAATAAGAAGAACTAACTGTCAATGTGTATGTAAGTTCTTACTCTGTGTGTGTGTGTGTGTGTGTGTGTTTCTTCCCGACACGTCAGACTGTTCCTGTGAAGAAAATGAAGGCAGATGAGATCAGCAGCCTCTTAGACTCACTGGGTTTCTACAAGAGGTCCCAGAAAGGGGAAGAGGTGCCAGAGGAGTTCCAGCACTTCCCCCTGCGTGCCCCTCGGGACGAGCTGTGATGACATCTTGTGGCTTAACCTTGCAACTGCACCCTGGTCGCTTTAATGACGTGTGGAGCCCCAAGGCCTAAAAACAATGAGCCAGGCTCCATACTGATGACCCGCTGAACCGGTGCCGTGTGTGAGGTGTAACTTACAGCGTTGTCATAATGACTAAGTACCAGTCATTTCAATAAAGGAATACTAATTAAAATGAGTTTTTTTGCGCATATTTTGCTACCAGGTTATATTTCAATACTATATATATGTGTATATATAGTACAACAAATACTGAACATAGACTATAT